AAAGTTGCACTGACACGTCAAAGTTGCACGGTTTTAAGAATGATTTTAGTTATACTTTTTTGGATTTATAATGCTAGATTTTGTAAATATAATTTATTAATATAATAAAGTATAGTACAATTAAAATAAAAAAGTTTAAAATGCCGAAATAAATTTTTAAAAAATATATATTTTATTTTCAAATATTCATATACAGTAAAAATTCTATCGGTGAGTGGAGTCATGAAAATGGTTTTCCCAAGGTGTGTAAATTTTTTTCTTTTCTTTTTTAATTTCTGGCAAAATAACTAAAAAATAATGAAATTTGTAAAACTATCCACAATCAAGAAAAATGACACAATGTATTTTTGGTTTTTTTGAGAAAAAAACGCGACACGTGTAAACATAAAATAATATTGTGAATTTTTTTAATTTGTCTAATTGTTTAGAATAAGAACAACGCATTGTGTTTTTGTATAAACACATGGACTTTTGGTGCGGATTCTTGTCAATTTACAACTCAAGTACGTCTTTGACAACAGCCTCGATTGCTGCATTGTCTTCTTTTGATAACCTTGGGAAAATTTGCTCGTTTACTCTGTTATTACACAGTAGTAGAAGGTGAGTGTCGATTTTTAGCTTCAAAAGTTATCATCTTGTCCTCCGCCTTGAACTCTTTTGCGTCTGCAACCATCCTGTCCACCTGTGCCTTTGAGAGTCTTTTTTCCTGTTGTCTCGTTTTCAGCCGACACATTCAGAATCCCATTTGCATTTGTATCAAATGTGACTTCAACTATGAGACTCTATGTGGTGCTAATAAGATACCAAACAACCCAACCTTGTCAAACGGGTTGCAATGTGATGTCATCGATGTCTCGCCCTCAAAGAATTGGATGAGCACGCCAGGCTGGTTGTCTGCATGTGTCGAAAATATCTGTGACTTTCTTGCTGAAATTGTTAAGTTTTTGTGGTATCGATTCTGTCATCACACCAATCACAAGCGTGCTTGTGATTGGTGTGTGGAAGTCGGTGCATTTTTTATTATCATTTAAAGTTTAATATTTTAAGAGGAGCATTTTCTGTTATTCTTTTCTTATCTTTTTTGAATTTATTTTTGTTGATAATTTTTCTCTTTTTAAGTTTTTATTACCAAGTCTTTACTCTTTTAAAATAAAA